CGGCCACACCGTGCACCGCACGCGACCGTTCGACCCCGAGTCACGGTCCGACACGCTCAGCAGCGCCACCACCGTCCCCAGCGCCGCGTCCTCGGCCACCGGCACCGACAGCGACGTCACCCACACCTCCGGCGCGTTGTCGTTCACATCCAACACCTCCAACTCCACGCTGCAGTGACCAGTTAGCGGAACGGTTCCCTTATCATTTGCCTCTATCTCCAGGTCGTACGACTCTACGTTTTCGAAATCTAGCCTGCCTATTATTCTTAATTCTCCCGATTTCGRATCCATCATGAACAAATCTTTCACTTGGTCTGATACAGATTGGGAAAAACTATAAGTTATTTCCTTATTAATTCCCTCGTCCTTGTCCGTCGCTTTTAGCTGGACAAGTAACGTCCCAAYGGGAACATTTTCGGGAACTTTCACATTGTAGACTGACTGGTTGAATTCGGGCGCGTTGTCATTCATATCGAGAACCGTGATCACGAGCTCCATCGTGCCCGACAGAGACGGTCTGCCCCCATCAATCGCCGTCAATATCAAATGATGCTCAGCCATGGCCTCCCGGTCCAGGGATTTCGTTAGTACGAGTGCTACAGATGTTTTTTTTTCGTCTTTAGATTTTACTTCCAGAGTGAAATGTTCGCTGGGGCTCAGTTTGTAGGAGAGCTGCGCGTTCGATCCGATATCCGAGTCCGACGCGCCCTCCAGAGGAAAACGCGAACCAGGAAGCGCTAAGGACTCGGCAATACTGAGGTTTTTCCGGGCGGCGGGGAAGAGCGGGGCGTTGTCGTTGATGTCGGTGACCTCCAGCTCCACGTGAAAGACGCGCAGCGGCCGCTCCACCAGCRCCTCCAGGCGCAGCACGCACGGCGCGCTCTTGCCGCACAGCTCCTCCCGGTCCAGCCGCGAGCTCACCACCASCGCGCCGCTCGCCCCGCTCACCTCCACGCTCGCCGGACGAYCCTKGSCCACCAGCCGCAGCCCACGCGCCTCCGCCTCGCCCGCCTCCACGCCCAGGTCCTGCGCCAGCCGGCCCACCACCGTGCCGCCCTTCGCTTCCTCCGGCACCGAGTACCGCACCTGACCGCCGACCAGCGCCCACGCCGCCTGCAGCACCAGCAGCCGCACCGCGCACCGCACGCCCATGGCCAGCGCCGCTCCCGCACCGSACCCGGGCGCTGCCCCGACACCCACGTCCCCCGCCGCCGCTCTCCGACACCGCCGCGTTTGCCCTCCCGCTCCCCCCGCGCTCACAGCCGGGCTTTCCGCCGCACCGGGGCGGAGCCGACACAGACGCCGCCGTTTCTGAGCCTGCAGCGACACCGTGTGACCCGCCGCCTCACACGCCACCACGGAGACGCCTTGCTTCATCCCGCAGGCTCCGAGAGGGCCCCGGTCCCGCCGCGCCGAATCTCCCAGGCTCCAGCATTGCCGTTCCGGCGACCCTCGCGGCTCCGACCACACCGAGTTCTCCGCTCGGCGCTTTACAAGGAAACGCCACCAGGGATGGGGGACTCCTTGGGAATAAGCCATCTTTTCCGGAACAAGAATTTTAAATTGATATCTTGGCCTCCGGCGACATTGGTCATGTGCTCATTCCAAAGAACGGATACTGGCTTGCTGCACTAATTCACGCAACACTTTGCGCGTTATTGGTACTATTCCTACGGTTTTCTTTATTTGCAAGTAACCGCTATGGAAGGCCCTGCTATGCAGTTTAAGCCCTGGGGTACTTGCTTCACAGGTTGCTTGCGGAACGAAGGTACTTGCTTGCAGAACGTTAACAAGGGGCAGAATATACACGATAAAGACCAAAGATGCTAGCGGAAGAGGAACGAGGAATTCAGTGCCTCATCTTGTTCCAATACGATATGGTTGGATATGCAGAGAATAAATGAGCTTCCCCTGTTTCCTGTGCGAGAGGAGCACGATGAGCCCAAAAGGAGAAAAGATGCAGGAGGAAAATACAGCACGTGATATACTGCCCTCTTTCTTCAGTCTTTTCCTTCTATGGAAAGCCGCCGCGATTCCTCATGGTGAGTTCTGTTTCTCTCTTCTATGTTGCCTTTCCCTCCCTTTCCTCCTCCTTCCCTTCTGCCTTCTTCCATTCTCTTCATAACCCATGCTCTTCTTGCCATTTCTTCTCTTTTCCAAAATATTTTCTAACTGTAAATGCCACCCTTGACGGCAAGCAGGGACAGAACTCTAGGCAAAATCGCTCTTTCTTCCTCATCAAGTCATACACGAGGTCCTAAGTATTCAGAATTCCGAAGGACATCCAGGAACTGATTGCCAGGGAGGTCTCTCTCTCCCTGTTTCTTTCTCCATGAGTCGGTGGACTCAGGACCCAATGAGGCATGGAGCACACGTGGGTCGGTTCTTCCGCCCTCTGGGGCTTATGCTCATTCCTTTTCACTCAGCAGACATAGCTCTCCTGATTACTTGCAGGCCTTGCATAAAATGTGCTCTGCAYCTGCACTACAGTGTGTTTTCTAGAAGATGAGAGTACTCTTCAGTCTCTATCCAGAACAAGGAGCAAGGCTTGTACAACACATAGAATTCCAGAAGAATCATTTATGAAAGATCACTCCTAACTGCAGGCACAGATCGTTACCTCTTGCAAGAGTGGTTCCAAGAAACACATGTGGCCCAGCCATTTCATGCACTCCCCTTCCTCAGTAGAAAGTATAGCACAGAGTAAGGAATGCATATTTCAAAGAATGCGTCTACTAGGCCATAACAGAATCCTCCACCCTTTACCATCCAACTAGCCTCTCACATTCCATTTGGATGGTCTTTGCAATGCCAGGAACTTGTTACTTCTGGAGATCGAGCTCAACACACATTGACAAGGAAAGTTTTGGAGAACAATAATAATTAATAAACGTAGGGGAGGGTAATGGAACTAGTGCTCTTACTTTTGCCCAGCGAAGAAGCACCTTAGTTCACTTCTTAGTGCAAGAAAAACACCTTAGTGGTGTTGACTTGCAGCATCATGATTTGTTTCCTACTCCGGTTTAGCTTTTCAGGCAGGGATCCACGCATGGAACAGTAGAGCCAGGAGTTTAGAACCTGGGACCTGTATGAGAATTAGTCTCGCTGCCTTGTCTCACACCCATTAACATCATCATCCATCTGGCACAAAACTCGACAGAAGCCATGAAAAYTACCCTACCGTACGTTCATGGAGAACATACACAAAGCACATTCACTGAGATAAATGTRTGAGTCACCCTCCCATACTCSATCRCAAGTGCTTCCTCTCCCACCGCACATGTGTCAGGAAGCAGCTTCATTGAATGCATGAGATCACTCACAATTGCTCCTGACTTGCAGAAGCCTGTAAGCATTCCCCAGGCAACCTTATATACATYGAAGTTAAAGGGAACACGTGGAGACATATGGCTCTAAGGCAGATCATCCTCTGCTGCAGTGTGACATGACAGCGAAACAGRAAAAAATGGTTATTACTTCTGAAATAATTGTAACGGAATTTCTCAGTGATCCAGAACATGGATAATTTCCACAGAAGTAGGCCTTGCAAAGACAATGCTTATCTGGTCAAAATTCTAAGATCATTGCATTACTGACAATGTTGCCATCACTGCTTTTCAGAGAAAAAAAARATACATGTCAGAGAGAATGCTGAAATCTGAGGGAATTCATTCAAAGTCAAACAAACTTCAAAATAGGAGGAAAACAGTTCCCACATTTTTCTGCCGGTACATGTCCCTCAAACCTTAAAAATCTTACCGCCAACATAGTAAAAACCGTGCATCGTGCACACAAATACTTAAAACATCTCATATATCAGGTTGGCAACAGGGAAAGGTGCTGGTGCWAGTGGGAGAAATGGTGTYCCASCTGGAACATGCATGCCCACCTTCAGCCAGCAAGCTATTATCAGGGGACATTTATCTGTACTCCCAAGATACCAAGCAAAGACTACCCACCAAAAGAGACATGAWCGAGCACAGTCAGGAGACATGAGTGACGGGTTTGCACTGGTGTTGCTGGACACTGAACACATGTCCTGGACCAATGACCCCCACATCACAGAGCAACATACTTTCCCCTCCCCAAACTTTCCTCTATCTTGCACTTACCATGAGATTTGCTCTTCTGCCAGTACCCTGTAAAGAATCAGTTATGTTAGCAATATCCTAAAATCAAGAGCTTATCTAAGACAATCTTCAACTCCTGAAACGTCATTCAAGCTCTTGCTTCTTTGTGGACAGAACAGAAGCTTTTCCACTCATCCCACTGAGTCCAAGCAATATGGAAGCAATGACATTTGGTAAGAGAGTAAGCCTGAATATAAGACCATATGAAACCCCAGAGAGGGAGGCCTCTAGCACCAAAACTCAAAACCAACACAGGAAAACACACACACACAGAATAAATTATTTAAGATAACAACCAAAGATGTAGAACAGCTGTGAACTACATGTGTTACAACAGCAGACTACATAGGAAACAGCTGTGCTTTTATCCCACTTCTCACAGGTGCAGACTAAGAAGTATAAGTAGACATTAGGTAAAAGCTCTCAGGATTTCCTTCYTGATTTCCGTTGAGCTTTGAAAAAAGCCAAGGCTTCAACARWGAACRTGYTTGCATGGGAAGGATTCATCCCTAATGCTTYAGTATGAACTGAAGCAGGCCGTGTTTGAGACTGTRACAGAGTTCAGYGTTTTTCAGGGAGTCTCCTTGCTTGTCATAGGGCATACAATACAGCAGGGAAGTCATATCACAAACAACACCTTGGTTACACTGYGACACAGTAGTCCATCTTCTGAGACACAACACCAGCCTGAGAGATGGTCAGTGTCAACAGACTCCACACAGACTTGACAACTGCAGGGAATCGTTCATTTGGAAGTCTTACTCAATGTACCCCACCAAGCAAATGCTTAGAGAAGGATGACATGAAATACGGCAGGCATCGCTTTCCTGCGTTCTTTCCCTTCCCCAAAGAGGACTCCATACCTCCTTTTCAACTTGCAGCTGCAGCATGATGGAAGAGGTGCTGTTCAGGCAGGCCAGAAACGCACACCTTTCAACACTTCCATACGCTGAACACTGGAACAGGTGTCTAGAGTTTGTGGAGTTTCCATATGGCTATCAAAAGCTGCACACTGTCCTGGTCAACGTGCTCCAGCTGGCCATGCTTGGCAGGAGGCCTTACACTACATGACCTCCACAGACATCTTCCAGCCTCCACCACTCCAAAACTGTGACAAACAGCACTGATCTCACTCTATTAGAGGACATCCCTACTCTGGAAGAGCAAATATCCACATCCTCCAAAATAAACACACCAGACACCCTCCTACATTCAGTTCCAGGTGCTTCCTGTCATCCCTCACACTGTGACTAGCAGCAACGTGGAGGATATGAGCTCACTACATCTTCTGCTGACTGTGCCAAGCTTTGCAGGCATAGTCCACTTAACAATACAGCCATCCCAAGTCTATAAAGGAACACAGAGACGTCTGCCTGTCAGGCACGTGTGGTTCGTGTGGTCAGGCACATGTGGTTCTGTGGTTCGTTCGAGGTATCAGGAAATTGTGTCAGTGGCTGCTTCTTCAAAACATTAAAATAGACTATTCTTTCAGAATAGATTCTAAGCAAAAACTCCAGTGAAGAAAAAGGATAACCCACATCTTGTCAAAGCTCTCAAATCATTGCCTTATCGGTAGTGTTCCTAATTACAGAATAACAGAGCTACATATAGGTAGGTAACATTGTTTAATGATGCTAGTCACTTTCTCTTATATCTTCTTTCATTTTCTTGACAAATATTTCATTTCCTTGGCATCTGCCACAGCTTCCATAATGAACACATTTGCATGGCGCCATGAATACTCATAGACTTTTCCTTTCGGCCCAGAAGATTCAGACACACCCCGTGGTTAACAAATACCACGCAGGAGAGCAAGGAAATCAGGTTAAAAAAAAAAATGCCCCTCAACAAGCATCATTAGGCATCCAGGGAGCCTTTGGATCTTCCACAAGCAACCGCAACAGCATACACCGAGAAAAGAAGTGTGACGACAACAACAACAACAAGGAGTCACTTCCCTCCCCGCCCCTATCCTTGGGGAATGAATCATGCCACGTTGTCCCCAATATCTCAATATCCCTCGGATAAGGCTCAGCATCACATTTCAAAACAGGACAACAGGTTTCACTCAGGGCCATTGCCACAGCGCCAAAAGATTTTGCGACTTAGAAGAGTTCATTCCGCCTTCCTTTAAGTCTCGCTAGAAAGCGCGTCTAAGAAAGTGGAGGGCCCAGCCTCACAATCCTGATATTTGAAGAATGCGACTCAAAATCCCAGCACCACTACTGATGACAAGACCCACCCACAGCACTGCTACTAAATGCTCAATGGGAAGTGCTCGCGGGAAAGAGAAAAACTAAACCAAGCAAAGCAAAACAAACAAAAAAATCCAAAATCAAACAAATAAAAAAAACACACACAGAAAAAAAAACCCACAGGGATAAGACTTAAGAAGAAGTTCGCAGAAGGGATCGTACCGAGCAGCACGGGCCTCCTCCTCTCTTTCACTCAATCTCTCCGTCCCTTCCGCTGCGGGGAATTCTCGAAACGCCTCCATCTGGCGCCCGGGAACATCAAAGCGGAGCCATCAGCGCTAATTACGGGCAAACGCCCCCTCGCATAGCCCATTCAACACAAGTTAAACGCATTAGGGATTGGGGAAAGGGTAAACGCTTTAGGAAATAAACACATTCAGCAGAGGCACTCACTTTCCCATAGGAAAGGCTGAATCTTACAAAGGGAGCATATCTGCATGAGGGAGATTCACGGCGCATGCTTCATCACGAATACACATAGAGTTTTTATTTTTCCCTTTCAGTTTATCTTTCCCTTTCAGCACGCTGCCTGGCTAGCAAAACAGAGCACAACATCTATTACACAAAAAATCTCAAATCCAATCTCGAACTACAAGATAAGCGTGGACGAACGCCAAAAAGATTTGATATCTCCAGGAACTACACGGACACTAGACTATAGAAAGTAATAAACTAAAAGAAAAAGACGTTTTAGTAGCTTTTTCTTCCCTTGCAACTCCTGAGAGAGGGTCAAAGTTCCTGTTTTCGTATGCTCATGCACGAAAAGCGGCTCCACGGCTTGCACTGCACACCTCTAAGCTCATTTTGACCGAGAACCTCCGAGTTCCCGGGATCATCCACTCCAGAAGGCACACTCCTTCACAAAGCTCATTAAAAAGAACCCACTCCTAAAGACAAAAGCATGCGCAAGCCAAAAGGGGCACAAGAAAGAACACCGCCTAGAAGGCAGGCAAGGGCGGAGAAAAGAAAGGGGCACTGACCGTGTCCAGGAGAGCGCTGGGATCCTGAGGCGTCTCCTTGGCTGTGGAGCAGGTGGGCAGTGGGAAGTTGGGGCTGAAAACCATGAGGTCGCTCTTGCCCGCGCCCTCCGCCACGCACACGCTCCGGCTCTGGCGCTGCGAGTACGACCAGCTCCC